GCCCTCGCCATTGACATGGCGTCCGCTCAGCGCGGATGGGTTTGCAGCCGAGGCCAATCCCCATTCTTGCTGCGACACAAGCTGGTACTGGTTTTGGCGGCCAGCGGGCGTTGGGCTTGCCTGTCTGCATTGGCTGGGTGGTCAATGGATGCTCGGAACGCATCCGCTGTTGCAACGAGCTGCACCGCCCGCCCTTCCCCTAGAAAGAGTAACGGCAACGTTTCCTGCGCTGTGGCTGGGATGTACCCCTCCGGGGTTGTGCACCGCTGGACTGCCCAGAAGCGCTGGCGGGCCAACAGGCCGACGCTTGCTGCAGCACACGCGGCGGTAGAGCAATCTCAGGGGCTGTGAGTTCACGCCCTTCTGCCACAGCCGCCGCCTGCTGCACTTCCAGCACACGAAGGGTTGTCTCTACAGGGATAGGCGGAGCGCACTGCAAATGCTGGATCCAAGTTCCCCGTGGCAGCGTGGAGCAGCTGTCTCCTGCTGGGGCTGCTCTCGGAGGCCCCCGTGAAAACCACGGTGTTCCGCGCCTCGTGTGGACGTCTGGCAACGCAACGTGTTGTTGCTCAGGCCTTGGTTCCGGGCGCGGGCGTTGGTCTGGCTGCTGTGGGTGCAAATGTTGCTGCTGTGGCTGCGGCTGTTGCGGCTGTGGCTGCTGCCGCTGGTCTGTGCAAGCGCAGCGCACGGACTGCCGACGCGCAACAGAGCAACGCCCATGACGGCGGCAGCCAATGCCAGCTGTCGACGCACAACAAAGCAATGCCCATGAAGGCCGCCAAAAACAGCACTGGCCAGTGCCCCTTGCCGACGCACTGTTGCTGCCCATGACGGTGTCGCCGCGCAAGCACCGCCCCCAGACGGCCACCCCCGCGAAACAGACGCTGTGCGCTCAGGTGACCGAAGTCGAGATTGCGGAGTCGCAGCCTGTCCGCCCGGCGTTCCCGTGCCAAACCAGTCGGACGCTCCGTTGCGTGAGCCGGAGGCTGTCCTGCGTGCGGGACGATCGCCCAACAGCACCGCCACTAACGCACGATGCCTTAGACACAACAGATGGGCCGGCCGATGGCCCCGGAGAGCACCATGGCGCGCACACCCGCCGGTTCAATCCGTTACACAAGGGGCGCGCCTCAGGGCAGCCTTTGCTGCACTTGAACCGTATGATGTCGAAACAGTGTTGAGCCACCCGTGTAGTATGTTGAGAGCACCCCGCATTTTCTGGAAAGCGCTCCGGTTCGCGCTTGACTTGATATACCACGCCGGCTCGCGAAAAGGGCTCGGACAGGATCAAGTTCCCTTCTGCCACGCGGACGGTGGCAGGCGCTAGTCCGAGCGTCCGGTTCGTTCCCTCAAGGACCGGTTCGTTCCCTCAAGGACAGCCCTCAGCAGTAGCCGAAGATGATGCCGCAAGACGGGCCGACAGAGCTGTCCGTTTCGCACGCTTGGGGGAACTGTCAGCAGCACGCCAGGCGCTCATGGCTGATCCCTTTTTTTGGCACCAAAGGATGCGGACACCCTGCAGAGACTCACGGACCCGACTAGTCGCCCGACGTCGAGGAACGGCGCCGGGGCCGAGCGGCCGTACCGGAGAGATGTTTCGACTTGTCCTCGATGATGAGGAGGTGTCCGCCCTATTGTAGCGAGAGTCCCGGAAGTAGTCGCTCCCTGGAATTGGGCTCGGCCGGATGGTGGCAGTGCGGAAGCCCTCGGGAGGGGTGCGTGGCCTCGTGGTAGGTGTTCTGCGTAGGCTGGTGTCGCGTACCTTGGCAGAGCGCCTTGATGCGGCGTGCCAGCCGTACCAATATGCACTCTCGATCCAGTGCGGGTCCGAGGAGCTGGTGCACACCCTCCAGTACCTTACGCAAACCACGCCTGCCATGACCGTGTTGTCGGTTGATGGGGTCGGCGCGTACGACCATGTGAGTCGGCTCGCAATGCTTCAAGCCTTGCGGGACACGCCCGATGCTTGCCGTGTGTTGCCCCATGTTGGCCTGTGGTATAGCACGCCGTCCACGTACGTGTGGATTGATCACCCAAACAAAAGGAGGGGAACAGGGGGATCCTCTAATGTTCGCTAGGGATGCACCGTGCCTTAACCGCTCAGCAGACAGAGCTGCAGCCAAGGGAACGGGTGTTTGCTTTCCTTGACGACTTGTACATTGTTGCCGCTCCTGATAGGGTTAGGGCCTTGTTTGACGCAGTAGCACGGCGCTTGTACGAAGAAGTCCGCATTTCCTTGAACCACGCCAGGACTCGAGTGTGGAATGCTGCCGCCGTTGAGCCGCCCGGGCCCGACACCCTCGCGCCAGAGTGCGGCGCGGATGCCTCGCCTGCAGAGGAGAGGGGGATCACGGTTTTGGGGGGCGCCTCTGGTGTGCAGACTCAGCTCACAGCAGTACGTGACAGACATCTGCGTTTCTTGCAAGTCCTTCCGACCCTACCCGACTTGCAAGTTGCCTCGCTTCTGTTGTTGTACTGCGCGTCGCCACGGTCTAATTACGCCTTACGCATGCTTCCCGCTAATATGACAGCAGGCTTTGCCAGTGCCAGTGACCGAGCCGTTCAGCAGTGCTTGTATTCCTTACTTATTGCTGATCATGGTGGCCACCTCTCCCAGCTAGCGGCTTGCTTAGCCCAGATAGCTTTGAGACACGGTACGGCTCAGCGCACGCGGCTAGCGGTCGAGGAGGCTCCTGGCTCGGGCAACAAGTCGCTCCACAAACGCAACTCCTCATCGACATTGGAAGCCGAGTGGGGGGGAGCGCAAACAAGCTAGCAGCATACGCTCTGTGGGCAGCCGCCGCCAAGAGCGAGCATCACCGCCGGGCGGGGCCTGCAGCGCAAGAGCTGCGGAGGCGCGCCGGCGCGGCCCTGGCCCGTGCAAGCTGCCGGATCAGCTTCCCTTGTCGCGGTCCAGGCCACTGGATGGTAGGCACAACAAGGCGGCATCTGGAATTGCCTTGCAGCAGCTCGGGATACGCTCCCTGTCCAAACCCGGGCGACTCATCTTCGACACCGCTGGCCACGCGGGCGCCTCCAAACCACATTGAACCAAGTGCGCGACAGGTGGGCGGGCGGTGGAGCCCCGAAGCCGTTGATCACTTTAAGTTGCTGTGAAATGATTGCCGCGAGCTCGGGATCGTACGTGTGGACCGCCGGCCCACGATGCACAAAAAGCAGCAGGCGCGTGCAGTTGGGCACTTCGCAGTTCCAAGCCGCGTTGCCCGGAGGCTGCCCGGCTCACCAGCAGCCGGAGGCAGGGTTTCGGAGACAGATCTGGCGGCGGAAAGGGCGCGCGGAAAAAAATGGGGCTGCGAGGCTGTCGACCTCGTGCGGCGTTTGGCCCGGTGCGCGCTGGGCGCCGGCGCTGCGCGCTTCGGCGTTGGCGGGGTGGCCTTGCGCGGCTAGGTGCCCGCGGCCGCTTGCGTTCTGGGACTGCCCGGAGGCCCCCTTCACCTTTTGGGGGGAGGGCTGCCTGCGGCTCAGCTGGCGGAGGGGATTTTTTTTTTGCAGCTTTTTTGACGCCAGCTCCCCCTGCGTTGCTTGAGGTAGCCAGCCCCACCTCGAAGCTGGCGTCACGGGTGCGTGCAAGAAGTGCGCTATTTGCCCATCGTAGATTGTCGTTCTTGCCGGCGCGTGCCGCACGTGCGCCCCCAGTCTGTTAACCCGTGTCCGGTGAATGGTTCCTGCCTGCATGCGAGGTAACAACCCCCCGAAACCCTGCTAGAAGGGGCTTGCGCGGACACCGGGCACTCGTCCTCACCCAGCAAGAAGCTTGGACTGAGACTGTGCGAAGGCCTGGTGTGCGCCGCAAGGAAGGCGGACCAACGGGCAACGAAAGCAGAGACAACAGCAGGCCGAAGGAGAGCTGGCGCGGAGCGAGCCCGTGCAAAAGCGAGGTTGCGGCAGGAAGCTGCAAGCTTCGTGCCTGCGGGGAGACCAAAGTGGTGTCTACAGCAATCCCTTTTTGCAACCACTGCGCAGTGTGCGCGCTCGGGCTGGGTTGTTGCGGAGCCACGGTTGCATGAGTGGTTCGGGTCGGCTGCAAGGCTGTCTACTCTCGATTCGCTGACGTGGACCCTGGATGAAGGACGGCACCGTGGAGCCGACGAAGAGCAAGAGTGCGGAACAACGGAAGGGAGACTGGAAAGACGGTGGGCAGCCGGCCAGCAAACGTACAAACTGCTGGGACACGCTGTCCTCCACAAAAGCAATGGCCTGACGCTGCCACCCCTGCTTGCAAGCACAAGGCGGAGCTTGCTAGCCGTTGCACAAAATGTTTTGGGTCCGCACAGGTGGTCCTGGAAGCAGGGTCCCGGGTGAATCGCCAGGTTCCTGCCATGCAAGCTTTCTTCCGCTGCACCACGTCTCTCCCCCCAGAAACCCTGCTTAGGGACCCCGGGCACCGGGGTGCAGCCTAGATTTGCAGGCGTGCAAACGGCGTGGGGGAAAAGCCATCTTGGTGACCACTGCTTGGCTTGCAGCATGCTGATAAGGAGACAGCACAGCTCAATACGCCTCAGCGCATCCAATGACGCCACCGGATGTGCAACCAAATGCGCAACACGGGGAGACACGGGTTTCTTGCTTTGTCATGTTTTTTCTAAGCAAGCAAAGGAACGCCAACATGTTTTTGCATGGACAGCACGAGGCATGCACTATTGTTCCTTGAGCCAGTGCATGCAACTCACGCATTTCCAGGATAAATTTGTCGCCGCCGAGCCTTTGCCGCCATGGGGCGCGGGGCAAGACCGTGTGCTTCCACCGCCGGAAGCTAATGATTGACAGCAACACTCGCGCCACACAAGTAGAGTGCAGGAGGAAGAATGGAAGCTAGCACCTGAACTTGGCTCTTCCGTCACATGTCGCGAAGTGCGGATGCCTTCCCAGTCGCAGTGCTCCAGAATTGTTTGAGGGGAAGGAAACAGGATTTTTTTTCTTCCAAAAACCATCGGTAACCGAGCATGTCGGCGGGTGTGTGCGCAAGTGCCGTGACTCAGGTCTTTGCTGTGGCCGGCGCGTCGGCGCTCGCTCTGGGAGTGGCCGGGCAGCCATTCTCCTTTTGGGTGGGTAGGCTTGGGCAAAGTTGGGCCCAAGTGCATTGGCCTTCTTGCGGAGGAGTTCTCATTACTTGTTGGGCTGTGGCCCATGCAGGCGCTGTCAATGTTACTTTGGGCCCACTTGCCCATGGCAATGCTGCGAGGTTTCAGGCACTCTGAGCATGAGGGTAGGTTTTCGCAACTGGAAAGGATGGGAAGGTTGGCACGCTGTTGCGAACTTTGCCGAGTGCGCTTGAGTTTGTAAACCGTGGCGTGCAATCGTGTTTTTTTCAGCTGCTTGCACCCTCAAAGAGCCGCCTCTGCGTTTGCAGGAACAGTTGCGGGGTTCCCAATTCTGAAAGCGCCCCATGCTCGTTGTGTTTCACCTCGTGGCTGCTGTGATGCTGCGGAAAAGGGCGCGCGAAAAAAAGAAAGGAAAACCAGAATCCGACCCGCATTTTCTGTTTCTCATTGGCATCGAACCAAACGCTAGGCCTTATACCTTTGGGTGCGCCAACGTGGGCGCAAGCTCGCCAAGCAGTCCCTGCGCTGGGCTGAGAAAAGGCCCAAGCAATCTGGAGTCCTGGCCACTTGCAAAGACCATTCATGCATGATCCACGGGTTTTGATAAGGGCCACAAAATGCGCAGCTAGCATGTCGTCCCTTGAAGGCAATCAACTCAGCCACAAAAAGATGAGATACAAGGAGCTCCGGGTGTTTAACTGACAGCTGACACTTGGAAAATGCTTACCTCCGGGGAGGCTGGAGGTGTGCCGGAAACGAACTGTTCTGAGGAACTTGGCCGCGGTGGCGGAGCAACTCCAAAATGCCGGGCCAGAGGAGGCCTGACTTCTGGCGAGGCAGCCGCGGCTCTTCTGGTCTTGAGGTAGGTAAGGTGTGGTCGGCGCCGGAGAGTTTCAGGGGTGATCAATTCCATCGCAAATGTACTTCGCCGGAGGCATGATGTTACTGTGCCCTGGCAGGTAGCGGACATGAAGGATGCCGCTGCCGAATTGCGCGTTGCCCAATTGACCAGGGCAGATGAGTTTGCAATTTGCTTGCGTAGTTTAGGGTTTAGGGTGCGGCCATACTTGCAAAGTTTTTGGGAGACTCATGACAGGCTGCCGCCATTGCAGGTGTCTCTCTCGCTGCCTTTTCACGGTTCGGAGATTTGCAAGTTTATAGTTTGTTTTTTGGCCTTGCAGTAGCGCCGTATCGGAATTTCTTTATGCAGGAGAGCAGGTAGGGTAGCAACCAGCTCTTTTCTTGGGATTTTCACCCTTTTTGGGACTGTTCCTAGGTGTAGCTGTGGGGGGCTTTGATTGCCTTCAAACTTTGCTTGTGCGCCTGCCATGCTCGCACCAACTCACGGCTTGCGCGAGCGCCCTGAGCCGCCAAGTTGGCCCGCGCGCGGACTTCAGCGATTTCAGCCTGCGGAATATGCGGGTGACCGCGGACGGCTGGGACAGGAGAATGCTTTTCTCTGTGTGGCGCTGCGAGTTTGAACAAAAACGAATTCAATGGAACCCCTCATGTTGCGGCTTGGCAACATTTGGAGACAACAAGTCAAGGAGAAAGGTGTGGTAAGAGGCGCCTCATATTGGATGAGTTGAAAGAGAACAGTGCTACTCAGGAGTGATTGACATCCCCCTTCCAATGGTGAGTCGAGCGATTTTAGGATGACTTGTTTGAGTAGTTGGTGGGGGCACGCTTGTCTCAGCTTGACCCTTGTGCAGGTGGTGGATGGCCGTGAACTGAGAGAAGTCTTTTTCTGGTTGCGGGACTTCATGGCTGGGGCTTCCGGCCAGAACCGCAGGACGCGCTCTGCGCCGCGGGCCTCGCCTTGGCGGCGAGGAGCGTTCGGAGCGCTCGGGGAGCTCGGAGCGCTCGGAGCGCTCGGGGCGCTCGGGGCGCTCGACGGGCGCTGATGGACGGCAAGGCCGTGGCGGCAAAGGTCCGCGAAGAGGTCAAGGAACGCGTGCGGCGCTTCCAGGAGCCCGGGAAGGGGGGGGGGGGTTGTGAGGGGCACCCGTGGACCCGTGGACAGACCGTAACGACAAGTTGGGCTGTCCGGTCTGGGCAAAAATCAGATTTCAGGTTCGACGGAAAGGGGAAGGCGGAGGACATGGAAACTAGCTGCAGGGTGGGCTTGCCCCAGATTTCGTGCCAGATGGGATCAGAATATGGGGCAAGGCTCAAGAGAGGCTTCAGTTGTGCTCAACACTGGTAATTTGAATAACAACGGATAGCGAAAGACAACTTCCATTCAGTTCGTTTGGGCAAACGGACTGAAGAGAAACGAAGATCATTGCTTATGCGATTCTCGATCGCCATTTGAGTGAACACATCTTCACCCCCCTATCCTTCCCTTCTTTCCCCTTGTTTTGCATGCCTCCAGGCTTGCATAGGCTCGAGTTGTCCACCCTAGGGAGTGGGATGGGAGAACGTACTTTTGGGTGAAATGAGTTTATGGAAAAATCATCACCATGGACCATGGACCAGAGAGCTTCAGAGTCAATTGCATCGACAGATTTGCCAGCACACGATCCCACCATCTAAGAAAGCATGCAATGGAAACAGGATCCATACGCTGATTGCCGCGCCGTTCTCTAGGCTTTTGGGGTTTGGGCAACATGTTTTGGCCTTTCTTTTGGTATCCTCTAGGCCCCAGAATCTCAACATATGAATTGTGTGTCGGGGGCGCGGGGGGGAGCTGAGGCGCTGCTGGCATAGGAGATGTACTATCTTGGATGATTTCATGTGATATAACTTTACGAACTTATATATATATATATATATGATAAAAAGTATTTTTCATAACTTTATTCCATCAAAATACGGTATACATTTTTTTTGGGCGGCGGGAGTTGAGGGGCTGCTGGGGGGAAGGCTCCCCATGCTCAGGACCGCACCGGCACGAGTCCCGGCCTGGCTGTGGTGCTGGTAGGGGACCGCCCCGACTCGCAGAGTTACGTGCGGGCGAAGACCAAAGTGGGGGAGGAGGTGGGGTGCCACATCCGCAACGTGCAGCTGCCGGAGTCTGTGTCCCAGGTAGGGAGGGAGGCAACGGGATGTTGAAGGGCGGGGTGGTTAGTGAATTTATTATAATTTACGCGAATCAAGATGCTTTTTGTTTCACATGGTTAATCTGAGTGCAAGGCCTCCCCTGAGTTTCGGCCGGCCGCTTCTACCCGTCTTTTGTGTATAGTCATTGAATGCGAGGCCTTCCTTTAAGGGGTGGGGGCTCCTACCATGCCTCCACCACCCAATGTCATCCAAAATGCATGTGGCGCGAGGAGCTTCTGTTGCAAGGTATACGAATTAGCTTTGGGGTATGTTCCTTGGATGGTCCCGGCGCGTCCACTGATTTTGGGGTAGGATCTTAGACAGGAGGAGCTCTTGGCCAAAGTCGGCGAGCTCAACGCCGACGCCTCCGTCCACGGGATCTTGGTGCAGCTGCCGTTGCCCAAGGGCATCGATGAGGCGAGCGCGGTGGGGTTTGTTTTTGGGTGCTAAGTGGGTTTTGAAGGCTTCGGGTGCGCGGTGGTTTTAAAGGAAACCACCGCGAATTCGCTTTCTCTTTCTTGGTCTGGGGTGGGGGGGAGCAGATTTTCAACAGCTTTTGGAGTTTTTGGGCTTCCAACTTGATTTGGGTATGTTAAGTGACCACGGGTCGGTCCAATTGGGTGGTCTTTTTTCCCGGAATCTGTTCTGGAGTTGTGTCAAAAGGGAAGCTTGAGATCCCCTTTGTAGAGCCAAAGGTGGTTGCTTTTGCCGGTCTTGCAACCGGTAAATCTTCAAGCTGTTGACGCGGGGAACTCACCGTTTGCGCCGCGAGGTCCGAGTTCTGGACTCCATTTTGCCCGCCAAGGACGTGACGGGTTTTGATCTTTGCTCTTTGCTTTTTGCCCGACTCGCCGGTGAAAAGGTAGATGTCGCCCAAATGGACAGCTAGACAATTTCTGGTGAGGCAACCTGCAGAAATTACCCCGCCACAGAAACACTGTGTCCCCCCGCATTCCCCCATCCTTGAAATCAACGACGACTTCTCCGTGCATTGGGTGGTTATTTGTTCGGTTTGGCCTTGAGGCTTATGATCCAGCAAACGGTCTTGATGCGCTTTTTGGCGGATTTTGCCCGTTCCTCTCCCCGTAAGTTCTTTTGTAGTACCCTGTTGTTTTTGGAAATCAACGGTTCACCTTTTGGGACCTTTACGAATAGTGGACCGACAAGGGGAAACGAGTTGCAGAAAATCGTCGCTTGCAGAACTCCGAGCGGTAGCTCCGCAAGGACGCCGATGGCCTGACGGCCGCCAGCCTGGGCCAGCTGGCGCGCCCGGGAGGCGCAGGCATGGCGACCCCAACCGAGTAGGTGGAAAGCCCGTGAAGCCCCTTTAAACCCGTGACCCCCTTAAGCCCCTGCTGAACTCCAACTCTTTGAGTTTCAACTCTTTAAAAGCCACGAAACAAGGCTCTTGAAATCCACCTGGAAATCCATGAGCCACCTCTAAACGCTTTGTGATGGGTTTTATTTTAGGACTTGGAGGGAGCACTCCGAGGCCCAGTGGCGCTGCCCTGCACGCCGGCCGGGTGCATGGAGCTCCTGCGGAGCTACGAGGCGAGTCGGGTCTCGTTTTTGAGTTGGTACCCCTGCTTTGGTAGGGGTGATTTGATCGGTTTTTTGACCGGTTTCTGCGGTTTTTTAAAGGGGACTTGATCACTTTCTAAGGGGTTTTGAGGGGCGGTTTCTGGGGGAAATTGGGGGTGTTAAAAGAACACAAAAAGGAGAACTCACCTTGGGGGCGGACTCCGATTCCTTAAAAGAGCCACCCACTGGAAACGGCGCCATGGTTTTCTTGCGGGCGCGCGTTTCAGGGTTCCAAGGGATCTGAGGGTTCTATTTTGTGGAAGCGGAAATGCTGGCATGCCTGGTTGTTTTATGCAAGTGGGTCATTTCCCGCAGGGAAAGGTTCTTGGAGACTTAGGGAGAGACCCGTCCGAAAGTTCCTAGGTAGACGCACGCCGGCTGGAATTTGTTAGGTGGAGCTGGCAGGGAAGAACTGCGTGGTGCTGGGCCGGTCGGCCATTGTGGGCATGCCCATGATGCTCCTACTGCAAAGGGCGAACGCCACGGCCCGGTCACAGGGAGGGGCAGGGAATCCACAGCAGTCCGAACCAGAAAGGTCGGAAGGGACGCGTTTTGGTTCTTTACATTGGTTTGGGCTATGCCATTTAATGCCGGAGTTTGAGCGTGGCTTTGACAAGACACACATTTGCAGGGCCAATGGCTCCCGTTCCATTGTCAGACTAATGAGACCTTGGCGACTTTTTGGGTTTATCTCATTGTCACTTTGGCTCCTAAAACTGAATTTTGCTAAACTTGGGTTGGCCGGGATGGGCTTGAGTTGGGGAAGGAGGCATGGTTTTTGGGGAACAGTCAGCGCTTTTGGGACAATTTGCTGTTGTTTTTCTCCTCGAGCTGAAAAGTCACACAAACAGTACAGACAGATTGTTCAAAAGAAATGGTTGCCAGATCGAAGCTTTGTAACTGTAGTGATATAACGTGTGTTTCATCAGATGTTGAACTAATGGAATAGACACCGTCAGAATGACTTGATGTGCGAGCTTGTATATAAGTAGTATTATCAACGGGGGATCGTTCAGGTTTAGGGTTTCGGGTTGATGGATTTGCTAGTGTAATTCGGCGACTTGTGAGACCAAAGGTTCGGCGGTAAAACTTGAGAGCAACAGTGCAGCACACAACCCACCAACCCACCAACCCACCAACCCACCAACCCACCAACCCACCAACCCACCAACCCACCAACCCACCAACCACCCTACCACCCAACCACCCAACCACCCAACCACCCAACCACCCAACCACCCAACCACCCAACCAAGCAAGCAAGCAAGCACGCAAGCAAGCAAGCAAGCAAGCAAGCAAGCAAGCAGGCACAAACAAACAGACACACCACACCACACCAACACGCCATACCAACGCAACACTTCGTTACCGAACACAACACAAACACAGCACAACTTTTCACAACCCTAGTTTGGCTTCCCTCATGGAGCCTTGCTTTTGATGGGTTTTCTCGGATTTTGCAGCATGTAAGGGCGGTTTCCAAGATAAAGCAGATATCTCGCAAACTTGGGTGAGGTCATTTTACTGGCTCCATTTCCGGAACTGATTTACACATTTGTTTGCTCGAAATTATCATATTTTTGGTGTTGGTTTGAAACGGAGCTAGTCATGACGGGTCGGAGTTTATTCCAGTGGTGAATCGAGAAAAGCAAACGGAAACACATCAGCCAGAGGAACTCTGCTGTTTCCAGTTCGTTGCAACCATACCAAGGGGTTGGCATTGATTGTTTCAGTCAGTCCAAAGTGGTTGGTCGCCATTTCAGGTATGGTCCAAAATCAAGCAATCGCCCTGCGTGGTTCCCTCGAAAAGTTTGCATTGATAGTCTGCCTTCAAACCGTACCCTGGACTTGAAACAGGACAAGGCACCCCCCAAATTAAGGCAATGGATGGTTTTCTCTTGGCTTCCCCGGCGCAAAGCCAACCTGTCAACTTGCAAGGATTTTCCCACAATTTGACGTCTTAAGCTTTCGTCTTCCAAACCCATTGGGGGAAGCTTCCACGATTGCAGCGAAGGTTGCCCTTGGCCTCTGGCAGGCTTTTTCCCAGGCAGGCCAAGAGAGAGATACCCTCCAAAACGCACGCCCTGGGTGGGCGAGCCCAAGCGCAGGTGACTCTCTGCCACCGCCGCACCAAAGACCTGGTGATTCGCTGTGCGGAAGCGGAGGTCTTGGTGGCGGCGGTGGGGCGGCCCAACTTTGTGCAGGCCGTCTCTTTGCTTCCGGAAATGGGCCCCACTGAAGGGCGGATCCTTCTTCTTTCGCGGCTCGGTACCCTTTTTGGGAAAGCTGCAGTTTTAAAATTTTACGGGTGCCCATTTCAAGACAGACCCCAATTCTTGAGTTTTCAGTTGCAGGAGTTACCGCTTTGTCTGGGACCCTTGTTGCCGTGTAGAAATGATTAATCGCTTCCCCCTAGTACTGCATCCTACACCGGCCGACTTCTTAACACATACCATGGTGCGGGAAAACTTAACCATGAGATAGAGCTTTAGCCTCTAGGGAGATATACCCAGCTGGCCACTGGAGGCAGCCGCCCTCCACCACCTCAAACATGTTGGTGGCTGCGTAGGCTGAGTGGGTGCGGTCGGGGGCAGTGGTGCTGGACGTCGGGATCAACCGGGTGGAGGCTGGATGCCGAAATGCCAGCCCTTGGGGGTGTGCGATAAGGTAGGCTGACCGTTTGTTTCTGCTTACACGCCTGCCACACGAGAAGCGCGACTTACCTAAGAGCGCACACTCTGCTGGCGCTGCACGTGTGCCTTCCACATGATGAGCAGCACACTCAAAATCACACGCCCAGCGCTGCCCAGCATGCCTGCCACATGATAAGCAGACCTGCTCAAGAGCACGCTAGCGCTGCACATGTGGCTGCCACATGATAAGCGCACTCGTTCAAGAGCACGCGCAAACATCCACTGTCGTTTTGTCACCTAACATGAACAACCGCGCGGGTCGTGCTTTCAGGCCCTCACGAATCAGAATGGGGTAGCGGGGTACTTCTAAGCCATGATGGGGGTGTTGTGGCAATGATTTAGTCCCTTACACTTAGGCCTCCGGCGTCCTTGCTTGGGGAGAAAACAGTCGATTCCG